AATAATTAATGAAAAAAACGGCTTTGAATTTGAGAAAGAAAAAGGAGACACATATACAGGTGGGTTTGAAGGGCAGAAAAGAAGGGGGAGAAATGTTTTAGTTATATCATAATTTCAAAAATAAAAGAAATAATTAAAACATAGGGAAACAGTAAATTAAGACAGCTATGGTACTAGGACATCGATTGTATACCTGTCAGTTATAACACTAAAGAGTCCCACCCACAGCAGTACCTTAGGTAGGTAACAGTTAAGATAGGGAAATTTATTTGTGCAATGGTTAAAAGACATTCCTTAGGACAGAACACTCCACAAAATCAACGGAAGCTCCAAAGGGTATTTTAAAATTTTAATTAGAAGTATTTTAATAGAGAAAAATAGAGAAGTAGACTATTGTTCAAAATACTTAAAATGAATTCATTTTTCCCAAAGTGTTAACTTTAGTCCATTAAATGTTGAAATTATAAAAATTATGAACACAGAACTGTATTAAAGAAAAATGTTAATTTCATGAATTTTAATAACACACAGAATGTCTGGGTTATAACTAAGGTCATATGAAGTATTTGAGGTCCATATTTAAATTCTTCATTCTCATGGGAATAATGAAGAAGTGTTCAAACAAAGAGAAAGTGTGGGTTTCAATTCATCTACGGAGTGCATGTTGAAAACAGGTCATTCTCGGTGCCGAAAAGGAAGAAGTGAAGTGCAAAATAAGTTTATTGTTCTTCATTATTAAAAAAGGGCAGATGGTTGGATAGCATGTTGCCCAAAATGAATTGATTCCCTGCAATCTTGGAATTTTTGTTTGTGCATAAAACCCATAAAGGGTGATGAAATTATTCAACCAATACAAGATCACAAAACAGCTCACCAGCAGCAAGATGCTGTGAGTGGCTCTGAGCTCAGGAGATTGCTGGCTGGAGAGGCTTGTGCTGTGGAGATACTGGGCTCTCTTGTGGTGTCTGTAGAGGAGAATTACCATGTACAGGCTGGTCCACATCATGATGCCCACATATAAGAGATCATGCATGAATATGAGACTCAAAAATGAGCCTGAATTTTTGTTCCCAAAATTCCTGTTTTGGCAGTAAGCATGCAAATATCCATTTCCGACATGAGTAAAATTGGTTTTGGCTATTACCGTTTCAATCACAAA